CTTCCCAATACATAAGTGGTTGAAAAAGGATGAGTTGACATTGGATATAGCCATTTTTTTTCCTTTTGTTTGGGGAAAAAAATTTGAAAACAATTTTGTATTTTTGTTATCAAAACTTTTCAATTTCATGAGATTTTTTATTGCATAACTTGTCAAAATTAACATTTATGAAGAACAAAATAAATGAAAACAAAATTTAAAAAGATCGTAATCCAAATATATTTTCATTTGGTTAAAAGTACAAATTTGATCTATATGATTTGAGTTTAATTTTAATTTGGTATTATGATTTTAAAAGTTTATATTTGGTATCTACGGTTTGGTTAAATTTCTATAAATCGTTCCTAGATCTTTTTTGTCCACTTGAAAATCACCGTCTAATTTAGTCATTGTAGTTTTTTTTAGTACAACATGTGGATGTGGAGAGTAGAACTCACGATTTTTTGATCGGAAACAAGTGTTTTAACCAGTTGAGATATGCTCAGATCGGTTTGGTCATTAACTTTTAAAAAAGTGAAAATTTAGACACTTCATTTCATTTTTATCTCATTTCTTTTGGATCACAATTACACCGTGAAAATTCACTCATTAAATTTCTTGAACTGGAGCCATAAATTTGTATTAAAGAGCTTCGATGTTATATAAAATTTATTTTAAAATTTTGCAAATAGGAACTATATTAGTCCCCTCCTAAAAGTACTAGTCCAAAATATACGTTTTGAGGGGACAAAAATTAAAATAACCCAATGCAAAAAAAAAATTATAGACACTAAAATAATATTTAAGTTGATGTTAAAAAAATAATAATAATAAATAAAGGTTTATTGTTTTTTACAGTTTACCGGATCCAGGTGGATTTACTGTATCCAATGTAATTGGTGGGCGCGGGGCCCACACTATGTGCCGTCGTCTGTCTCACGTTCCCTTATATTTTATCGAAGATTCCAAATATTCTTTTAACCTTCAAATTCCACAAAACGCCAATAAATAATACAAGATAAGACAACATTTCTACAATTAATTTAATTCATATATATAATTAACAAAAAATCTTCTTCTTTTTAATATTTTTGTAACTTTTTTTAACTTATTTTCAAACTTAAACTAATGAGATGATGTGAAATTGTTCTATTTTCTTATGTGTTTGGTCGAATGGTAAAAATATGAATTTTAGGGTCGGTTTGATAATATTATATTTTTGTCTGTTTTTTGTTTTCTCCATTATAATAAATGAAAATAAAATTGAGATTGATGGTTGTTTCTTATTTCTAGTTTTTTATTATTATTATTTTCTGTTGTTAAAAAAATAAACAGAAACATGTTTGTTTTTGTTCTAAAAGTAAAAATTTATATGAAAATTAATTTTTGAAATTAAATATTCATAGTTGTATTTATTTTTTTAATATTTATTAGGCAAAAAGTATGAGTCTATTTAGTAACTTTTTTCCTTATCTTTTTATTTTACTCATAAAAATTCATTGAGTACACTAAAATTTTATATATAATATGTAAGCAAAAATTTTATTTGTTCAAAGGAGTTTCTGGTTTGTGTTTTTTTTTTTACAAAAAAAAACAGTGATAAAAAAACAATGATTCAAATACTTAGTGAATTAAAGTGATTATTACCTTCTTTTAATGATATAATTTTTTTTACTACATATTATAAAAGGTTGTAAGTCAAGAATAATAAAATAAAATTTTTATTTTGTTTTGTTTAAATATAACTTGAAACAAGAAACATGATTTTGTTGTTTCTAAAATATCTACACAATTTTAGAACATTTATTAAAAATGGGTTTGTTTCAATTTTAAAGTAGACTGTGAATTAAATTACTTTTAAAAAAATGAGAACGAAAAAAAGAAAGATAATATAACTAGTAAGTATCCTTAATTTTCAAAAGTATAATAAAAAATAAAATCGTTATCGAATAGGATATGATTCATTTATTGCCTAATAAAAAAAATCTAGTGGGTTTTAAGAGAATTTAATTAGTTATTACATTTTCAACCAAATCCTTCTGCTAAAAAAACCCTAAATCCCTTTCTTTCCTATCTCTATCTAATTTATTATAATTTCAAGATATCAAAACACCTTTTAAAGGATTAAATAAATTGTTTAGTGTACTAAAAAAATAAATTGTTTATACATAATTGTTAGGAAAACAAAAAGTAAACTTAAATGCATCATGATTATGCAAGACTTAAATTTTTAGATCACAACAAATCGAAATAATGAGCAAAAGTAGAAAAGTTATCAACAAATAAATACTTTTAAATATGTTCATAAATAAAAGAAGAAACTCGCGAAAGGAATGTAGTAATGGCGATTCTTATTTATTTTTTTTTTTTTTCCATTTCAATCTTTCTATTTCAATGTGGCCTCTCAAATATCTTAACCTCAATTAAAAAATATATATATATATCTTCAAATAAAAATGAGCTTTTATACATATAAGATTTGAATTGATTCGTATATTATATGGACTAATTTTGTTTAGTATAACAATTTGGAGATATAAGGAATCAAACATTCGATTTCGGAGAAAATAATACATGTCAATTATTRTTGAGCTAGGTTTATGTGGGTTATATAAGGATAGCAACATAGCGGGACGGGGTTGGAGGGGCAATCCGGGGATTTTTTACCCATCCCCTTCCCCGAAATTCTGGGAGCGGGGCGTTATAAATATATGTTTTTTAATTTTTTTAATTAATTTTTTTATTACTCGTATTAGAAAAAAAGCAGCTAAAAAAACTATTAGCTTGAGTTTTTTTTAAGTATTTATAGAATTAATATATATTAATATTATTATATAAAAATAGAAAAACTGATAAAATATTAAGCGGGATGGGGCAGGGAGACCTCCTCCATTCCCACTGGAGATTCCGATTAGGATCCTCGGTTTGACCCGTCCTCGATCAAATCGGAGATTCCTCGACCCAATCGGATGGGGTACCGCAGGGATTGAGTCCCGCAGATTTTTTTGTCATCCCTAAGGTTATATAGTACAATTTTTAAACTAAAAATGAGATTTTTAAATAAATGAATAAACAATAAGTATAGTTTAATGGTAAAAAAAAATTCACTAGTGTACTAAAAAATGGGTCAAAAGCCAAACCGAACATAGCTCAAGTGGTTAAAACACCTCTCTCTGACCAAAAAGTCATGAGTTCGAACCCATCCCAAAATATTGTAAAAGAAAAAAAAAAGGGTAAAAAATTTACTTTACCCTCTCAAAAATGGTAGGTTTCAATCTATATATATTTTTTAATCTTATTTTCTAGAATCAATATTGTGTAACTTATCTTAATTAGATCTCTATAACTAGATTTGTTATCTGAGCTACATTTACCCATTTATTCCTTTATTGAATTAAAATAAATAAAACAATTCCAAACAATCTTATAAGTTGCAAATTTATTCTTATCATACTCGTCTATACATGCAAAATAATTTTAAATCACATTTTGATCAGCGAACTTTGAGTTTGCTCCATTATCGTCTCTAAATTTTTAAGATGTCCATTAGCCTATAAACAAAAACAATTGTTTTAGTTCTTAATTTAATTTTTATCACTAACAACAACCACACTTAGTATATACTTCAACCAATTCGAATAGCTTCAAATACAAATCTAAGTTTGCACATTACATCGCATAGTCGAAACCATATATTAAAACAACGATGCAAAATTATTAAGCAACAAAATAGTTATTTTTTGAAAATTTCACAAACAAAATGAGATTTATATTATGCTAAATTACTTTAAATGCCCTCCTCATTCATTTTTTTTTTCCATAAATACACACACATATTAATTGCATAAGCTATCACCCCAGCCTCCAAAAAGCAAAAGTGTAAATACCTCACTTCATAGAAGGGAAAAATGGCAACTGAACAATTCTTTACAACAGGAAAAAAAAAAAAAAAAAGAAGAAGAAAAATTACAAGTTTTGCCCTTGCATTTTTTAAAAAAAAAAATATATAATAAGTCTTAATAGGTTAATATTGGTCCACAAACTTCCAATTTTATGTTAGTTAGGTCTTTTAAGTTTTTATTTTGGGTCGAATTGTCAACATTTAAAAAAAAAAAAAAATTCACATACCCATTAGAAATATTAAAGTTTGGATTGGATTTGCACACAAAATTCAATTTTACGTGGAATAGTTATGTTAATTTTAAGAAAAGTTGAATATGTCAGATACAAAATTAAAAGTTTAAGGATTTATTAAACACAAAATTGAAAATTCAAAGACTTAAAATATTAAATTTTTTAAAGTTCAAATTTGATTTTAATTCTCTTAATCCCAAACTTCCATCGAGTTTCATTTTGGTTCCTATAGTTAGGATAATTTCAAATAAATTCATATAGTTTGGTTAAATTTCACAAATTGTCCCTAAACCAGGTTCAAAAAAATCTATCTACTTCCTTCTAATTTTTCCCTAAGCCTAAACTCCTCAATTACAATTAGCTAACATAGTTATCCAAATATTGAAAGGACAATTACCAAATAGAAACAAAACATAAACTATAGAAATTACTTTCGTAGAAATATCGATAAGATGAATACTTATGTAAAAGTTAGAGAAATTAAAAAATCTTAAAAGTTATTTAAATTAACAAATAAACATTCTTTTTATTTCTAAATAAATTAAAAATAATTAATATTAATATTATCTATATATTAGTGACATTTTGTTGATATTTTTCATATTTGTTTATTTTTTCTAATATGATAGAAATGTCGATCTATCCCTCGTATCGATGTTGAACCTATGAATACATGAAAATTGAATATGTCGACGAATATTTAATACTGTGAAACAACCCACCCAGAGAACTAATTTATAATTTAAACCAAAAAAAAAAATCGTATGAACTTTAAATTTGAAAAAAAGTAAAAAGAAAAAGTAAATTATTATTTTAAGAAGAAGAAATAAAGAGGAAAAAATATATTACCCACTGGAGGTCTCTCTCAGTGGCATATGATAAGAGTGATATTACCTTTTTATTCCTCTTGGAGACAAGCGAAGAACGACAAATCTTCTCCTTTTCAATCTACTCAGATCTCTCAGTTTCAATTTCAATTTCAATTTCAATTTCATTCTCTCCTCAAAAATGTCTCTCCAAATCTTCAATCCTCCTTCTTCCTCCTCCTCCTCATAATCTGCTTCCCGATTCCGATTTTGATTTCGATTTTCGAATCGATTTCCTCTTTGATTTGATTTTCTCGATTCAATGAGGTGCAAGAAGCATCTCTCCGACGCCACCAGCGCCGTCGGCGTCTGCGCCACCTGTCTCCGGGAGCGCCTCCTCTCTCTCATGGCGGCTCAGGCCAGGGCCGAGGCTCTAGCGCAGGTTCATGAACTGCACCTCTCTCGCCTCCGTTGCGAAGATCTTCCGAGGAAATCCGATCCTCATCCTCATCCTCCTCCTCCGCCGCTGCTGTTTCCGCGCTCTGTTTCGCCCTACGTCTCGCGCCGGAAGGTCGAGGACTCGTCGTGGAACTTTCCGAGTCCGTTGGATGATCGCCACCGCCGATTCCACCACCGCTTCTACAGTACTCCGCAGGTCGGTCCTACTTACTGCGGCGGCGGTAATGGTAATACTGCTTCTTTTGTTACTACCGGCTCTGTTTCTAGGAAACAGAGGAGTAGGTTTTCGCTCTGGTCTAGTCTTTTCAGGTCCAGATCCGAGAAATTGGATTCGGTTCCTCGAGATTCTTCATGCGAACCTGCCTCCTCCTCCTCCGCCGCCGCCACCGCCGCGTATTCGTCTTCGTCTTGGCTGTCGTCAATGTTCTCCGGCCGGAAGAAGAAGCAATCGAAGTTTTGCGCGATTGAAGCCTCTGTAGATGCAATCGATCAGAGGAAGAAGAAGCAATCGAAGTATTTCTTCTCGCGAGGAATGTCGCCTGCGGGAGGAGCGAACGAGGCCGCCGCGGAGGGAGATTACGATGATCGCCGCGACGGATCTCCTCCGGCGAGCGGCTACTCCTCCGAGTCATCGAAGTGGAAACCGTCTCCGGCGGCGTCTCACGGATCGACGGCGAGGCGAGGGCGGCAAGGACTGAGTCGGAACGTTTCAGGTCTGGCGTTTTGCTTGAGTCCACTGGTGAGAGCGAGCCCTAACCACCGGCACTGGAGCCAGAAAGGACTGCCGCCGGAATTGGCGTATTCCGGCGAAGTTAGGGTTCAGACCAAGCCTCATCTCTCCGAGGCGGCGTCGTTTTGCGCGAACCGGTCTCGGAAACTCGCGGATTTCGGAAGAGGCAATGCCAACCGTTGATTTTGAAGACCGTTGACATTCAAACAGACGGTGCTGATTTCATCGCTCACAAAAACTTCTCAACAAGTACGGTTTTGCCCTCACTCCCTCTCCCACCAAATTGTTTATTACTACTAATCTTCAGCTCATTCCTCACTGTAAAGGCTGGGGAAAAAAACTTAAATCAAAGGGTCAAAATAGGTAAAAAAAAAAGAAAGAAATTAATTATTTGTTATTTCTATATACTAATTAATTAATGTTCATTACACAGAAATGAGAATTAGTTTTCGGTTTATATTTGGATTTGGATATGGGTTTTTCAAATTTGGAATCTGGTTTTTTCTTTTTCTTTTTAATAAATTATAATGTATTTAGTGGAAGATATTTAATTTAAATAATGAAAAATAAATGCTTCTTGCCAAATGGGTTGTGGTTCGGTCCGGTGGTTGAAGATTTGATCTAGTGGATGCGGCGGCTCCACGTGTACGGTTATAAAAACCACAAATATACTTATTTATCGCCGTGAAATTTATTCCTATATATTTTTGGATTTATTTATTTTCTCCCAACCTTCGACGGATGAATTACGAAAATCAATTGGATAGTGTAAATATATATATATATATATCATTGTCATTTGTCAGTAGAATCTATTTGGTTAAATTATACCTCTATCTCTTTACTTTTATGAATTTTGGTTTTGTATTTTACAGTTTTTTGTTTCCATTCTTGTTTTTTAATTGTCAGATTCCCACACAATGAGTGTAAAAAAAATTGTTAAATTTCTTTTTTTTTTTTGGGTTTATGTTTTAACTTTATTTTTAAATTTTAGTTCATATGCTTTTAAAATTTTTATTATCATCACGGTGGTGAGAACTAATAAAAATATGATGCAACAAGTCATTGCGACGGTAATCAACTAGAAGTCACGATAATCCAACAAGTTTGATTGGTTGTAATTTAAAGTAGGATTAGTTTTGTTCGTAGTCTCCTATTGGAGATCTTTTTGAAAAGCAATTCACATTGTCGAATCGTCGAATCAAATTGGCGTAAGAAAAATTTTCAGTTATATTTAATATCGCTCATTAATAACGTAAAAGGTATGGAGACCAAAATCCGGGTTAGTTTTTATGGTATCTCCTTCGTTTTCATTTTCAACCTTAGAAGATTTTTTTTTTCTTTAATTCATATTATGATGTTACTAGACAATTCAATGCACATAATAAATTCATAAAGATGGAGTCAAATTGCTACACTTGCAATGTTCACATTACTATACTAATACAAGTCCAAAGGTAAGAGTTTAAAGTCTAAATTGTTGCAACTCCAATAATTACGATAGCAAATTGAACGTTCCATCAAAAATCAAGTAGAAATGTCAACACGACCATAGTTTAGTGGTTAAGACATCTATACTTTCTCTATAAGTTTAATTCTCTTCTAGATATTCGTGATGTGATATTTTAAAATTTTTTAAAAATGAAGTGTCAATCTTAATATAATTCAAATAGTCTGTCTCTTCCTATAAATAATAGATTTAAATCTATTTTCCCTAATTTGTAATGTAATATTATCTCAAACTTACCTCCTAYGAGGAGAAACATTAATGTCTAAACAATTGAGTTATATCCATGGTAATTTTATTTTAGTCGTTAAACTTTCCAACATTTGATTTTGATCCTTTTTCTCAATAAAAGAAAAAAATATATTTTATTTTGCTTAATTTTAATACTAGAACCTTTTAAATCTTAACCCACCGTACAAATTGTCGAGTCCAACCAATGATTGTACAAAGAGCCTAAGATACAGTGCCCCAATCTACGGTTTAAATTTAAAAAAACAAGAAACAAAAAATGGTTACATTCCGTCTCTTTTTTCAATAAAAAATAAAAAAAAACAAGAAACAGTTATCAAATGAATAATGTAGGTTCAAATCTACTGTACTCTCGTTTTTACGACCAGACAGGTCTGTAGGGGACGAGATGCGGCGGCGGAGAGGGAGGAACGACCGCGTCGGTGGGACCAAAATCTTGTCCATCAACGGTCAGAAAAAGGTGAAAAGAGAGACGACGGTGGTGTTTCTAGAAAATGGAGCTGAACTTAGTACCATCCAATCCAATGTCCTTTATTTTTGGAATCTCCCAATTCGTTTCACTTTTTTTCTCCTTTTTTCTCATCTGTCTGATTTTGCCTTGGATTTTAGCAAAGATTCAATTGCTGTTGCACTTTTTTTAAGAAGGGAAAAAAAAAAAAATCTCCCTAAGTTTTTGGATTTCCTTTTAAAGAAAAAATTGAAGGGAAACTTATGAAGTAGTAGATATGATGGATCTATAGGAACTTAGAAATTATTACAAGTAGTTGTTATTGTTTGCTGACCTCTCTTAGTCGATGGATGTATGTTTCGAGAGAAGTCGAAAAATATGTATCATTGCTTGTTAAACGTTCAAAATATTTACCGAAATTGATGGGTTTTCGAAGATAAACCATATGGTTACTAGATTTGGATTGAAATTGGTGGATTTAATGAGATTTAATATAATGACTGCTAATTGATTTGATGGTTTGGTTATGTGTATTGGAGCTTGATTTTTTTGTTGAAATTAGCGGGTAAAAGTAGGAATACCTATTAAATTTTGATGAAATTAAAACTTTAGGATAAAAATCGACACACATTAAAAAACTAAGAGGTGAAATTTAAATTTCTCCGAATAATTATTTGTTGAGTTCAACAACAAGTAGGGGTGAGGATTCGAACATTTGCCTTCAGGTTAGCTTGTGTTCAACGACTAAGATAGATTAGTCGAATGTTCAGTCTCACAATATTTGTTTTTTTTTTAACAAATTGTATTTGTTGTAAAATAAGAAAAATAATATTTAAAATTTTAGAGGTTACCATAGAGACGAAAATGAAATAAAAATATAAAAATTAACAGACTAAAATAGGATTTAAATTTGAAATTATCAACGTTCAAAAATTCAAATATAATTGAATATTACAAGAAGAATAACTTTGTGAACTTTGCCCTTTTTTCATTCAAATGTTTCATATGGTTCAAAAATTACAACACCACCTTTTTCCCAACTTTAACTGAAACTTCAAAGAAAAAAAAAATCAAACAAATTTTCTCTTTTATTTGAACTTAAAAAACAATAATAAAATTATGTTCAATTCTGAACCCTTTTCTTGGTTTTCTCATCTGAGAAAATCAGTTTCTTTTCTTTTCTTTCATTTTCCTTTTACCTTTTGAGCGGTTTGTGATTTAACTTAAAAGTCACTCTAAAAAAAAATATATTGTTTATTGTAAATCTAGTTCTTAAAACTTTTATTTTCTAAAAAAATCTCTCTAAGTTTTAAATTTTTTTAGATTAAATTAAAAATCTAGTTTTAACTTTGAAAGCGTTTTTCTAAACTTTCAATTTTGTCTCAATAGATTCTATATCTATTTTACTTTTTTTTTTAATTTACGAATTTATTATAAATAGAATTGAACTTACCTCACATCATTCTAAATTTTCAATTTTGTGTCTAATAAATCTGTGTGACTTTAAAAAAAATCTAATATATCAAAGATATTAGAAACAAAATTAAAAGTTTATAAATTTATTATACACTTTTGTTCAATAACTCATCATACATGAACCAATCGATAGTTTAGAGATCAAACTTGTAACGTAACATTTTTTATTAAGTAAATCCACCCTATTAACTTGATTAATGTAACGCCAACGTAGTATGTCTATTTATCAARCTATTTGTCACGTCACAAAAAAAATTTATTTGATAGACACATACCCAAAGTTTCAAATATYGGCGTCGATAAAATTGTCCTGGTCTCAATTTTACTAAAATGTCCAYGTCGAGAGATAAAGATATTTCAAGATGACTGGCACCTCTCCAAAATTTTCTTCTTTTTTCTTTTTCTTTTGTCTCTCTCTAAACTCTCTCTCTCTTGTTTCTCTGTTTGGTAGAGAATGAGAAACAGTAAACCCAGTTGTCAAAATTCATAATGGATGGTTTTGAAGAAGTTTGGAAGAACATATAGAGAGAGAGAGAGAGAGAGAAGTGGGAGATAATGGAAGCCATGTGAGAATTGAATATAAGAATTGAAGTTGGACAGATTTCTACCACATTCAATAACAAAACCCTTCTCTCTCTCTTTCAACAAATGCTTTTTTTTTTTTTTTGCTTTCCTGATCTTTAATGTGTAATATTGTTCAAACCCTCATTATGATTTTGTATACTCAAAACCCATCTATTTATTGTGAGCAACTTCTAACACCTACCCCAAATTTTTTTTTAATTTCTTGCCTTCTTTGCAAAAAGAATTCTAGAATATGGTTAGTAGACGAGTTTTTTTACCTGTTACTAAACGTTCTCGTTTATTGTTTTTTCAAAAAATAAGCATTTGGTAAGCTGTTCATGTTTCTCATTTTTTATTTTCGAGAGACGTTTCCAACATCAAAATCAATTTGTTTTTAATTTCTAGTTTWTTTTCCAAGATATAAGTAAAAAAAATAAAAATGAGATAAAAATTTTGAATATTTTAATTTTAAAAAATTAATTTTCATTGTTTTATACAAGAAAAAACAAGAGAAGCAAGGAACGAGAATGTTACAAAATGGTCGATCCTTATCTTTTGAACAATATATTTTACTTTATACAAATCAATATAGGAGTCGATCGGATTCTATCTCTTTCAAAATCACCCATTTATAAATAGCAATTTCAACGTACGCAAAGTTTTTATCAGTTATTTGATCATAATTTTCAATATCATTTTTTCAAAAACATGAACTACTCAATTGTTTCCAAATCAAACAAAAAAAAAAATCCATCATTTTTCACATAAAATTTCAACAACGTTATTTGCATTTACATTATATATATATATATATATATATATATATATATATATATGATGTTTAAATAGTGGATCCATCAAAATAATTATTGAGTGTAAGATACGGATACGGCGTCGTCTATGTAAAGCAAACCCAATAAGAAATTGCCAAGTGTGATTTTGCTTTTTTTCCCCTTTTTTAAAGTGGGTAGATTTGGCATCATTTACATTTTGAAAATGAACCAAAAATTTTTTTTAATTTTATATATATATTTTTTAATTGTTGGGTATGATTCAATTTTCTTTTAGATGTGGAACCCATAGAACTTAGGTCTTGTTTGTATTTATTATTGGCATTTGATGCCCTGTGTTACCTACTTCCACTTAGGGTAAGACCGTGCTTTATCTCGTTCATATTTTATATTTAAAAAATTCACTTGAATTCCATCATTGGATTATTCTTTGTATCTTTTAAACTCGAGATTTTAATGAGGTCGTCATTCGACTTAGCTGCAAGAACAACTCTAATATTTACTGAGAAAATCATGGACGATTTCAAAATCGTAAGACTTCAGGAAGCATAACCATTAAATATTTAATATGGAATATGTTGTCAATTTGTAGTTAGATTTTAATTGAGTTTCTTTTGGTACCAAATTATATCTCCCTTTTTATTATGTTGATTTTGTTTTATTATTTCCTAGCAAACCAATTTCATTTTGAGATATTAATTGAGACATTTATTATAGATAATTTTTTTAAAAAATATATTTTCCAATGTAATTATATTTGATCATTACACACAATTTTCTCTATTATTCGATAAATCAAAATTTCGAACTAATCAATTTTTTTCGAATTTCCCCGATTTTTTTTCTCCAGTTTTCCATTTATTGATTTTCATCTTCATCAATTTGTCTACACCGACTACATATTTTCCTTCATTGCAACAATATAAACTCAAGAAATGAGTATATTTATTCATTTCCATTTATTTGAAGCAGTATGCAGTAAATTTACGCTTTTTTTTTGTGATTTTTTTTAACATAATGGAGAGGAAGTTTTGAAAAAATTAGAAAATCAATGCAAAACTGTTTTACGAAAATTTTATATTTTGGGAATATTTTTCTTAAATATCTAATTATGGGCAAAATGATAAATTGATAGTCAAATGAATTGGGTATATAATTGGGCCACATTATGATTTAAGTTGTAACAAGTCCAACAATCTTAAATATTAAAAGGAGAAAAAAAATTCAGAGAAGTAATATTTAAAGCTTAGTGAATCCAGTGAAAGTTGAAGGCTTCTAAGAAGAAGGTACGGAAGTCGGGAAAACAACCGAATACGATAACGAGACTATTCACAGTGGAACACGAAGAATCACAGTCGACTTAACTTGAACTATTGAGTCATTAGCTGCCTTTAGAGCTGGGATAAGTAGTCGACCCTGTTCTGAGCCCATGGGAGAAGACTGGGTAAAAGAAGYTTTTAGCCCTTGCTTGTTCAGTGCTATTTTCCGATCATGATTATCAAACAAAACTTGCCATAGAGTAGGAACAAGAAAATGTTCAAGGTCGTTCTATTTCAATAAGGCCATACCCTAAGCAAACTCTCCTATCTACTCTTTTTGTGTAGTTGAGATCTTATATTATCTCTCACTCGAGCTGACTAAAATTTTCAATCCAATAGCAATTTGTCACGTCACGAACTTCTACTTCCCGAACGAAACGACATTCCTTCTCCCTTCAAGCAATAAAGCAATTATTAATACAACCAAAAAAAAAAAAAAAACTTCAACAGTAGTTAAAGTGTATTCCAAGTTCCTACAATGACTCCAAAATACACAAATTGTTTCATCATCTATACCATTTTCGCTCGCTCACGATCGTCAACCTGGTCGGCTGTTGCCAACTTAAAAGGCCACAAGTTCATAATTTTTCATATTGCCATGAATGGAGCTAAGTAAATTATTGGACATCATGGATACAATAGAGTAATTCAAGAATCAAGACTAACCTATTTACTTACATAGGTTTTATCCAAATGAATGACCTAATGTAAGAATAAACTTAAACCAAATACATGCTGTGACATACCTGTGTACCGAGACGACTTCGTGCCCGGCTTCGCCTTTATGGAATTTGTTGAGTAAGATTATTGTAAAAAAATGAGACTTCAGATGAATCTGTGCTCCTAAGCTATATGCAGTTTACATCGGATGGTCCATCAACAAGGGGACCTTTCGTCGCAGGGTTCGTCGGTTTTGTTTCGCCTTCTTTGTGCCTTGGATTCGTCCATATAGTTTTGGTATAAATAAGATGCAAAGCCCCATAAGGCGAGAAGCAAGGCAATGATCTTCACACCATTCATCTTGTCATGGAAAACTACAAGTGCAGCTAAGGGTGTAATGGCTAAGGAGACGGTACTGATTGCATTGGAGAAGAGGGAAGAGACGATGAAAATCAATCCAACGACGCCAACCGAACATGTCTGCCAAGCCACAGCCGTTCCCACCAAAGTCAACACATATGAAACTCTTCCCTTACCATAACCTGCCATCTCCCCAGGCAAACTCCTCCATTCACCGCTAGCGAAAAGGGCAACAACCGAAACACAAGTGGCGACCAAGGATGTATAGATTTGCATCTCCAAGACCACAGAAAAGGTCTCCCTCTTCAGAACCTTTTGAAAGGAAAGCTGCATAAGAGAAAGCAGCAAAGAATACAATGCTGAAGCTCCCAGGGCACAAATGAATCCAATGAAATATTTCGACTTCGACACTCCAGCAGGTCGTTCAGAATCGTCGTTGACAGCCAAAAGTGCAGAAGACAAGGAGAGGATAATCACAGAATTCGAAATCAAAATTGTGAACTTCTGAGAGTTGATGAAGTAGGAGAAAACTGCATTGAAAGCTAATTGGCTAGCACAAACAAGTGAGTAAGTGGAGGCAGAAAGGTATAAGAGCCCAGTTGAGTACATCCAGTTATCTAGAGCTATAAGCGATCCAAGCGAAAAATAGACCAAGCAGAGTATTAGAATCGAAGGCGGGATAATGGACGCCGAAGGCGAAGTGCCCTTGGTGGAATGGGAAAGAAAGAGCGGGATAAAAAGAATTGGGAATGCAGCAGTTTGAACAACGGTTGCCATCCATTTACTGTTTCCACCCTGATCATAGTAAAATCTTCCAAGTAAAACAGCAGCAGCTTGACCAACAATCAGGAAAAAGATGTTGAGTGCCACCAAGAACCACCATTGCCAGCGTTTTAGATTAGCTAAAGGCAATTCATCACCAGAAGCTCCCTCTTTATCCAATATTGGTTGTTGGTTGTCTGTTATTTGATATAAAACAAAACTTAGTCCAAGAAAGGGGGGAAAAGTCACAAAAAGAAACTAGGTTGGCTTTTAAATGGAAAAAAAAAAGTCGTTAAGGCACTATTTTAAGCTTAACTAATGACATAAAAGTCTAAGGAAGAAGATAGTGTTGATAAAGTGCAACTATTTCAAGGAAAGATAATTACTGAGGCAGAATGGGAGAGATTAAAAAGTTCTCAACACTTTTTCACATGAAGGTAATGGGAACTTTAGGAGATTAAAATCTTAAAACTTTTCATAAAGAAGAGAAGGATTTTCAGTAGAATGTATGGAATTGTTCCTTACAGGTAATTTAGAACCCAAAATGTACTGCATTAAGGCCATGGAACTGTGAAAAACCATACAAAATACAGAACAAATCATCTGAACATCTATCATAAAAACAAAAAAAAAAATCCAGTCAGAACCTATTTCTCAGATAGGAGAGTCAACATATTGCCATCGACTCCACAAGCGTGAATTTGGGATGACTTTTGAAAAATGTGTTTTCGATTAAAAATACTTCTTCTATAAATACTTTTGGAAGAAACTCTAATTAAGTGTTTCTCCTACCAGCATTTAAGCCTTTTAGTGTCTTTAAAATTTTCAAAACCACTCCTTGATTATCTAACCAAACACTATGAAAATTTCGAGAAGTTATATTAATGGGCTAAAAATACTCTTTATCATCCTAAACATCCTCCCAAACTCACCCTAAATTTAACATATAAACAAACAAAACAAACTGAAAGGCAAAGAAACGAGTCTACCGCTCCTAACTTTAAACTCCATTGTAGTCCCTTGCCTAGAATATTAAATCTTACAAATTACCAAACAACTAAATATTACAAGGTGAGACAGTTGTCCCATAGATTAGTCAAGGTGTGCATAAACTAACCCGAATACTTGCAAATATCAATAAGAAAAAAGATATCACTCCTAACTACTCAAACCCAATAATCCAAGCCTAGCTCAATGGATAAAGCACCTATCACCTTCCCTAAGATCCAAGTTCCAATTCCTCCACGCATTTGTTGAACCCCAAAAAGGGAAAACTACTCAGACCCACCCACAATCCCTAATTTAACAGTAAGCCATGAAAGTGAAGAACTCATAAAAAAATCACCAGACAGAAACAGGAAAAAACGAAATCGAAGCTTGAGAATTCCCCTAGCGATGATTCTAAGAAAACCCAACAATGAAAAACGAAATTCCTAGGGTCTAAACCATAACTAAACAAGGATTTTACTGATTCAAACAATGGGAAAATTCGAGAGATAGAGAAAGAGGGAGAGACCTGCCATGGTGCTGAAATCTGAAGCTCTGTCTCTGAAAGAAAACAATCGGAAACAGTGAGTAGAGAATTAGAGAAAAAGGGATTTTGATTTCTGATGTCACGGAAGCCATCTTTTTACTTTTAAGAGAAAAGTTTAATTTTTTTTATCTTAAATTTGGTTTTATCATTAATTAATTATGCTTACATGGGACTCTCTTAAAAGGCGCCACGTGTGCAACGGCAGCCATGGCATCAACTTCAAGCAATCAAATGTTTCAAATCCACTTTGCGATTAATTTTAAAATTGTTGTGAATTTATTCAAGATTAAATACAAAGTTTGGTTTCTTAAAAGTTCATGATATTATTTTAATGTAAATATGGTATTACCAAGCAATTCGAGAGACTGAGCACGAGATTGAGAGGTCAAGAGAGTAAAAGGATAAGCAATTTGAGTAAAAGATTTCTTATTAGTGTTAAACTTAACGAGCAAAGACTGATAGACACAAACTTATAAAAACTTCAGAAAATTATKAGAAACATTTTAAACTTAAAATACTAAATAAACACAATCTTAAATAATAATATAAATTACTTGATATCATTGGTCATTCGTCTCATTTTTTAATCTTTTTTAAAAATAAAATCACCACAGTTTTTTTAATACAACAGGGTGGGAGATCAAATGTATATGTCAATTATCGTTGAATTATACTCGTTTTGGCAAATCACCATAGCTTTAATGTTTTATAATGGAAGGATAAGATTAAACTAAATCAATACATTAAGATAAATTAAAAAAAAAAAAAGATATAAACAAAATTTTAAAAATGACATGATAGTTTTCCATCCATTTGAATGAGTGTTGACTTAATTTCAAGTGGTTGGTCAAGCTCATTTTTCATAGAAAAATGACTCTATTTGGGGACCACATTACTATATCCTATTTATTTATTGAGATTTAACTGCACAGAGTTAAAAAAATATATATTAATGTATTTAAAAAAAATATTTTTTTCTTTTGCAAATGAATAATTCATTTGATCCTTCCTCACAAAAATTCCCTTTACGGGCAAAAAAGAAAAGAGAAAGCAGGAAACCCACAATTTCAAAAGTTAATATGAACATGGGATGTAAAACAATCGAAAAAAGACAAAATCCTAGAAAAATTGCAGCTCTTTATCGGTAGAAATCATGAAGCAATAGAGATTGTAAACAAGAAATTGGAGTATTTTGACATTCATAAGAAACTTATCCGTTGCACGAAGAGATGGATGTCGCCGTCGATCGAAGCTGTGAAGTTCGCCGTTGGACTTCACCGTCGATCGAAGTCGTGGAGTTCGCCATCCTCCGTTACTGTCGCCGTCGATCGAAGCGGTGGACTCCGACTGTCGCCGCCGAATTCACCGTTATGCCTATTTCACGCATGGGAGAGAGAGGCAAACGGTTTCGGTGAAAAGTTAGCGTTAGGGTTAAAATTAAAATTTGGGCCACCCTTGACGGTGGGCCCAAATGATAATGATGATCTTGAAAATTTGTTTTTTTTTTCAATTTTTAAAAAAGAATTGTCCTGTCATGTATAGAATTCTAATTAATCTCAAATAGATTCCTAGATTATATTATTAAATCAAATTAGACTCTGATTTAAATACTTTTTTCTTATTCTTTTATTCTTTTTATTTAAAAAAAAAAACTCATTCTTATCTCTCTCCTACTCTCCCTCGAACGAAAACAACCCATAAGCTTAAGCATTTCATTTATCGATCATCTCTAATCCCTTTATTTTTGCTCGTTTCCTTTTGAATCTATTTTTTTTCTTTCCACCATTAAAACTCACATCTGTTGTAGTTTGAATATGGTTACCTCAAATGATTAGTAAAATATATATATATATATATATATATATTTATTTAGTACAGCATTTAAGATGAGGAATTGAACTCACAAATCAGATATACTCGCTTTGACAGTAAAATATATTGGTTGAAGTTTGAAATTATTCACAATATTATGAGGTTTTATTATTATAATTTTTTTAAATGAATGTTATATAAGAAAATTTTTGAGATTGAAAGGAAATCATATACTTAAACAAAATTTAAATCGATCAAGATTTATGACAAGCTAATACACAAAGTCTCCAATAGAAGGTCTTATATAGTAATAATATGAAATTTGGTGGAGTAAATTACTCATTTTACTTGAGCAATCCGAAATGCTAATAAAAAAAAAAGTAACTGGAAAATAATCAATATATAAAGGAAAAAAGAAAAGTTTATTTATTTATTTATTTTTAGTACAGAAAAGTTTATTTTTAAGGATGTACATGTAATTAGGATAAAGAAGGATAGGATTAAATTAGAAGTCACTCTTTGTTGAAGATATGGAAAGCTTTCAAGCAAAGTAAAAACTTAAGAAAGCTTCTTCCTTTTTTGTTAATCTCTCATAATCAATAAGAATATAAACGCAAAAATTAAAAAAAATAGAAACTTTTAGTATACTATAGTAGTATAATTGCTTAATTGACAACTATTTAAGATTTGGTTAAAATTATATGATTTATTTTAATCTTCAAAATGTCCATTTTGTTCCGTACTTTAAACATTAAAAAGTGATCATTTTAGTCCCTCTTTACAAAACTTTAACACAAATTTTACACATAACGAAAACTCTCAAGTATAAAGTAATCTTTACATTTTAAGAAATATATTGATTTTAGTGTAGTGTTGAAATTGTGATTTAAAAAAAAGTGAGATTAAGAATAAAATTAAGGGACCAAAATAGTCCCTTCTTGAAAGTGCACGGACCAAAATGAACATTTTGTAAGTATAGGGATTTTAATGAACAAAAATTGAAAGTACAGAGACCAAAAACGAATATTTTGAAAGTATAGATATCAAAAGGAACCAAAGTTGAAAGTACACAGACCAAATTAGTGTTTTAACCTTACGATTTGGTTGAAATACTATTTTGGTCATCGAACTTTCAGCCTTCATGATAGTTTAATACTTTGGAAAGGTTCATTTTAGTCCGTATACTTTAAACTTTGGTTCATTTTAATCTTATACTTCTAAAAATGGATCATTTTAGTCCTTTTTGCGAAATTTTAACACAAAGATAACACAAAATTGTTAATAAACAAGTTTATTAAACAAAATCATCATCATTTGCCAAAGAAAATTAGGGGTGCATGTTGATAATTGAAAGAGCAATGGCAGTCAATTGAAATGTATCCTTATTCCTCTTTGTCAATGGCGATGAGATGCCTTCTTTTTCCCCAAACCCATCTTCACAAACCCTAGCAGCATCCATAACTGAGCTCACTTTGATATCAGCATCTTCATAATGTTTTGCCCTATATGCCTTTTTCCCTTCCTCCAAAGTGACAATGGCATCACAATAAAGTTCCAAGCAATCCCTCAAACGAGCCCTTTTATAAGAATCTACCTCCTTTTTCAGTAGCTTTTCCACGTGCTTAACTGAATTTCTCACATGGTCTCGAATCGAACTCAACGATATGGCGCCGAGTTTGCGAACATCGGCTGAGTCGCTATCTGGGTCGGCCCGAAAAGACGAAACGCAGAAGTTATAGTCGATGTTTGGATCGTTGTTTTCGCATCTTTTGCAAGTTTTTGGGACAAGATCAGCAGCAACAATGGTGTACTCAAAGGTGTTGAGGAGGATTAGGAGGAGGAGAGAAAAAGCAAGAGGAGTGGTGATAAAAGGGGATGATGAGAATTTGGGCTTCATGATGATCTTTATATGAGTAAGTTTTTTATGTGATTATTTTGTTGTGATGATCATTTTGGGGCTAATTTATATGGTTTTGGATTCATGATTTGGTGGGTGAGTTTTTGTTGTCAACTAAATTAGTTGTAATGCTTTTTCTTTAAACCAACTTCGTTCTAATGTACTTTGATTAAGGGTAAAGTGAAATGTTTTGAATTTGATAAGGAAAGTAATTAAAATCATAAATTAATTAGAGGTCAGAAAAAATCATCATGGGTTGATTCATGGGTTTAGAAGGGCTAAGGTAAATCAAAATGATCGTGATTGACCACCTACTCTATGTGTTTCCTTAGCAACTAAATGTCGTAGGGGTCAAAACAATTATCCCGTAAGGTGTACGTAAGCTGGCTCGAACACTTATAGATATAAAAATTTTAGAAAAATAGTGACTGAGGAGACTAAATAAATTGATAGAGATTAATAAAATCATATATTTTGGTCTATATATTATCATATTTATGTCGCATCGTAAATTTTAATTTCATCAACATCATATATATATTGGTTGACATTAAAAGTCACATCGATCTAAGTAATTAGTTGGGTTTGAATTATACAAATGTATCATTTTTGTTCAATTGTCTCAAAGGTTAATTGTAAAGAAGGTAGTTGTGGGTAAGCTTAAAAATTCATTGTTATATTGTAAATAATTCCATACAATTAACCATTAATGTTCTGAAATTGCTACAAAAGTTTCTAGTAAATTTTGAAATATCTATTAATTTGTATACTTTATCAATACTCTAAATTTACCATACAAAAATAAGTGAGGATATTGCAAAATCCTTTTCTTCACTTATTCTTCTTCTTTTTTTCTTTTTTTTTCTTTTCTTTTTTTTTTNAATATCAAAGTTTCACATGTTTCAAAAAAAAAAATCAAAGTTTCATAAAGTGCAGGGTGAGCAAATAAGTTGATGCCTCATAATTATTATTAATTTTAGTTTTAAATTCTCCCAAAATTTTCATATTATCTAGGTGGGAGTCTTTAAATTTTTAAATATATTCTTTAATTTTTAATTTTTTTAATTATTCTTGAACTTTACATTAGAAAAAAAAAAGTCCGTTTTAATTTTTGGGTTAATTTTCATTAATCATTTAACAAAAATCTAAATTATGTTTCAAAATCCTTGACCTCTAATCATTTAATAAATACTTGTCGGTCCAAAAAAAAGACCTATATACCCTTAAACACAATCATACATGACATAAAAATCATCTACACGCTTCTTAGATTTATTTATGGCCCTCAAGGAACCGCACTGAGAAAGATTTTTTAGAAGAAAAAACATCAACTTGATCTAAACTCAAATCGAAAACGACTTGTGAGTCAAGAATAAACCAAAACCAGCGGGAAGGAGAGAAGATTTTTATTTTCATTTTCATTTATTTGTAGAAGGGGAGGAGAGATCAAGGCTTATACATCTCAATTCTTCAATGTAATGATAATGAAAGATTGAAAGATGATGATTTTTTTAATATAACATTTCCACATTTGAAATTCATGAAAAATATTCTACTTAGAAGTGAACAACACCCAGACAATATTCATATGAAAAAACAAACAAATTTTATTAAGGTTTAAATCCTTGTTCTCATCTATAATTTTGTTTTAATTCCTCCACTTTTAAATATTCAATTAACAATTCGGTCAACAAATTTTAATTTATTTTTTAATATAATTCTAGATTTTAAAATTTTAAAATTTCAAAATTTAAAATACTAATCCGTTCAACTTTTCCTAAAAACAATATATCCAGTTATATGGAGAGTCAAAATTAAAGTGAATAATAACGTCATATCAATGTAGAAATAAGAAGTTCGGGATGGCACGTTGTCCCAACTCAAAGAGGACTCGAAACTTTATTGGTTTGTTTTGGTTTGTTCTTTTGTAAAATTAGAGAAAAACCAGAAGAAAAGAAACCTAATGAAATCACAACCAAGAAAAATGGAGAATTTGCATCTCCATGTTTTGAGTGGTTTGGGAGTCAATTTATTGAGTTTATGAGAGAGAGATGGGGTTGCTTGAATTTAATGTATTGTTAGGACAAACTATGCAGAAAACAAAGACACCTCACAATCATATCTTTTTGGAAGACAAGAATTTGGACAAGTTTCATAACATGAAATTCATATGGTACCGACAATGATAAAAAAAGGAAAAACAAAAACAAAAACAAAAACAATCGAGGATTTTATAACAAAATTACTGTTGGAGGTGATTTTTGCCACGTGTCAATTTTTCATAGATTAGAAACGTTGAATCATCACACTAACTCTATCGAAAGAATAAACCTTTAAAAAGAAAAAGTAACAGTTTGACACATTCTTGAAGGCAAAGTTAAAACATATGAAATTAGTCGTGCTTGAATCTATAAAAAGGTCGAGGCGACCTATGGAACTCTCAACAGTCTATCCTTGTAAAGGACGAGTCAACCTTCATGAGCACTTCTCATTGCTTACCTCAACTACATTTCAGATAATAGGTCGCGATTTACGGAGCTATCATAAAGCTACCGAAACCTATCAATAAAGAGATTCTGTTCATTTTTCAGATATGTGAAACTATTCAATATCTCTCTGAGTAATAAATTGGACTTGAACTGAATTGAGCCCGGAGCCTTTTCCTCTCTCTATGCAGTTTTCTACGTTCGTCCCCCTAGTTACCCAAATCTGAGTTTCACATGGTTGGTCAATTTCTTGATCAGAAACATCTACAAAATAATAAATTCATCTCATCAAAATCTTCATTCATCTAACTTACGGTCCACTTGGTATTTTACTTTTTCTCCTTTTTCAATCAAGAAAATACAAGTATAGATAAGGTAACTGTTTTTTTGTTCCAAACATGTTCGTTAATCCTTTCTTTTTTTTTAATTTTAGATTAAAAAAAAGTTTTACATGAAATTTAATTTTTTTAAAATAAAAAATGATAAAATAATATTTTAATCTATATTGTTTCAAAAAAAAATTAAATTTGATCTTGTACGGAAATGGTTCTAAAACATGAGAAACAAGAAACAAAAATAGTTACAAATGCTTATGTTTCTCAAGAATTTAAAATGATAAATGAGAATGTTATCCAATGAAATCTTGATTATTCATGATCAGTTACTAGTCAATTTAATTCTGTTTTACCAACAATTGCTGATAAAAATGTCTGACAGAATGGCATACGATTGAAATTAGGTTAAGGTGTGTTTTGTCTATAATAACACTAAATTATTGGTTTTTATAATTCTCAGTACTTTTGTTTAATCTTTATACTAAAAAAATGTAACAAATAAGTAATCACATTAAAAAATTATTTTAATCAAGACATATGAATGGAAAAATAATTCCACCATACATCTTTTATTTTGGATCATAGAAAATTTGCTAACTTCATTCCTCATTTTTCCATATTTCACGCACATATATAGGTTTTTTTAAAGACAATTTTAAGATATAGCTATTGAATTTCGAAAAAAAAATATAAGTTTAAAAGCTACATTGTTACCGAGTAAAAGCAGAAGGATAAGCTCAATGATAATTGGCATACCTATTTTTTCGAGATCGAAGATTCCATCCCCATATTTTCAAATTAGTGTACTAAAAAAAATAATAAAAAGGCAGGAAGATAAAAAATGTGATCCAAGGTAAATCCTATGGAAATTTTTTATCGAAAGTCATTAAACCATATACCAATTAAGGAAATTCTAATTCGTACCAATAATTAATAAATGTTGATAAGAAAAGATGTACATTATTGGAAGAAAATGTTATTAAAAATACTTTCAACTTTCTAAAAACAGAGTCCCCTATTTTATATGGTCATTAAATAATTTAAATATAATTTATTAAATTAACTGTTTTCCTCTTTTCACAAAAATATATATATATATATATATGTGATGTAAAGTCGGATTTGAATACTAAATTATTCTTATTTTCACATTTACACATGCTTATAACACATTAGTATTAAAAATGCTATCACTTTATTCTAAGAAAAAAATTTCATGTTTGTTTTCAAATTTTTCGTTTTTTTTTTTAGATAAATTTCCATATGTTAAAATGGGAAGGAAGAAAATAAGAAAAAGAAAAGTTTACACGAGTCTAGTTATCATTTTAAGAATGTGTTTCTAAAGTTTTAACGTTCAAATCTTCAATCCYACCTGATTTTGTTGAGCTAAAAAAAAWTYMAMCYTTTWAMYTYSRAARRAAAAAARWWA